TATATATATATATATATATATATATATATATATATATATATATATATATGTGTGTGTGTGTGTGCGCGCTCTAAAAACCGCGCCTTACGGCGCCCGGAGGCGCTAGGCGACAGGAGGCGTCGATTCTTTCTGTGATGCGGCGGTTTTTTTTAGGCTCACCTTTGGGGATTCATGCATCGATGACCTTTGGACTTTGAGTTTTGGGTTTAATTCTACCATATTAATTATTTTATTGCTTTTTTAATGTAATCATAATCATGCGAGGTATTACACTTCATAGCATCAATGCCGACTCTGTATTTCTTTCGGGTATTCCAAGAGATTTCCACCTTCACGCTAAATCCATGTTGGTTTCTTCCATCCTTCTCTATTTTCTTATGCTTTCATTCTTCTGGAGTTTTTTTTTTCTTACTTCCTTCCAACTCCATTTTGATTATTGATTATTTTTGTCTTTTTGAGATGATATTGATGTTTTTTGCTTCTTAAGTTACTTATTAAGTTGTTTTGTGTATTAGGTATGATTCTAAAATTGTTTTGCAAATATAAGTGCCTCGCGTACATGAATCCCTCGATTCGAAGCACCTCGAAAAAATGAGGCTCTCAGGTGGCTAATCGTCTCGGAGCGCTTCACGCCTTTAAAAACTAAGATATATATATTTTTAAATCTAAAAAAGTAAAGTAAATAAAAGAAATAGAAAAAAATTCTTAAGGACAAATAAGTCATTTTAATACATTCAAATTTTCGAGAGACCAAATCTTATCCGCATGATATTTTAAAATTTGAATATGTTTGAGAAAAAAAAGTCATACCAAACATGCCTCTAAAGCTCTTGTGGCTTCTTTTATAGCAGACGTTTTTCTTGAAGACCTAAACAAAAAACCTTCCAAATCTTGAAGAAAAATTTAAAGAAATAATAAAGAGTATAATAGCTTTTTATAATTGTCAGGGATTAATACCGTAATAAAATAATATTATATGACCCTCCAACTTAAAACAATAAGTTATGAACCAAATATACCGACTACCCAAACCAAACTATAGGGATGATTCATGTAATTTACCCTAATACTAAGAATCAAATACGCATTTCTTTTTCCCTATCCTTGCGCTGCTGCATCTTCGACGAAGGCAGGGCCGGCCCATGGGCTGAGCAAGCTGGACGATTGCCCGGGCCCCCAAATTCCATAAGGCCCTCTTTTTATACTTGTAATATTGGTTATAGGTATTAAGCCCTTTAATTTTAAACTTGTTAGACTAGTTTTTTCAAAGCCCAATACTCGAATTATCTTAAACCTGTGTCGATCCAAAAGAGGAAGCGGGGAGAAGCGAGCGTGCATCATCCGACTTCCGAGTTCCAAGGTGCAATTAATCTTCAGCAATCAAGCGATTTGTATGGAAAATCCAAACAACTCGTCTACAGATTCGATTCCAGAAACAACGGTTAGGGAATCGATTTCTTCTTCAATTTCTTATTTCGTATTCAAGATTTCAAGTGAACGATTTCTCTCCTATTCTCTAATCTCCATCTTTTCTGATTTTCTGAATATGTCCACAACAACCATGTTGTCACGCACCATACTAGAATCGAGAGTAGAAATTCGAAAATTTTATTCCTTCTCCATCTTTTCATGATTCCAAAAACTTAAAATAGATTCTTCCCCTTAATATTTGGATTTCCAGTTTTCTTTTTCTGAAACAGCATAGGCGAATGAGAGACTAGAATTAGGACCGGTCCTAATTCTGAATTAAGCTCAAAAAGGATTTATGCATAAGTTTAAAAAAAAAAAATTATGCTTATGTTTTTATGTACAGAAAAGAATGAAGAAGAATTGATAGATAATATTGAACTTGATGCCATCTAAAAATGCCCAAAAATATAATTTCTTTAATCTTTCATAGCTATGTATATGTGTTATGGTTCAGACGGCGCTGTTCAGTTTTGCTATTTTTTCTGAAGTCGGTTTGCTCCCCATCGCATTTTGGTTTGTTTCATTCAATTGCTTTCTTCTTCCCTCCCTCTAACTTGATTTTCGATTGGTGATGTCTAAGAACAAGCAATTCAATTTCGTTTGCTGGTGTTGCTGAACAGGGCATCTACTTTCATGTGTTGGCGTTCAAGAAGAATAGGTCATTAAATTCGGTTTGCGGTGTTGCAGAATAGGGTATCTACTTTCGTTCAAGAAGAAGGTAATTAGAAGTTTATTGTTTTTTTCATGTCGTTCTAGAAAAATAATCTTGTAGTTTCACTTTTATTGGGTTAGGAGTTCTGATGGTTTGTTTATAACTTTTTCTTCAATGCTTTTTCTCTTTCAAAATCACTACATGTTATGTTTCTATTCTCTTTAATCACATCTGCTTCCTTTTTTTTTTTTTTTTTTTTTTAATTTTAGAGTGTAAGTTTTTTTTTTCTATATAAGCACTTCTGATTGTGAAAACTACTTGCTCATAATGGGATTATAAGCACTTCTACTTGTTCTGAATCTGCTTTGTTCCAACTCTTTTTGGTTCTGAATTGCCTATGAATCTTGAATGCTTCTTCTGTTTATTTGTTCTGAATTGCCTATGAATCTGTGTAATTTTTTTTTATATGTATTTTAATGAAAGCAGGTGCATTAAAAATCTGGAGTGCTTCTTTGTTAACTCCCTAATACAATGATGTCAAATGATATAGAAAGTACTAAATAACAACTCATATTATAAAACTAAAATTAGTAACAAATCAAAAAATCCCAATAATAGTACTTAACATTGTAATGTCTATATATTTGGTTGTTTTTGCAATATTAGTTGAAAATGAAGAGATCTTGTCTGTTCGTAATCATTATGAATTATGATCTTGTTAAAATTGAAAATATGATTTTTTATTGAAAAATAAAAAGAATTTTTGATAGCTAACAAATTTTGTTCTACTCTTGTGACACCATTTAGGCAACTAACAATGCTTCCATTGAAAGATATCACACCAGCAGCAAGAAACAACGTCAACACACAGTTCATAATTTTGGAAAAAGGGAAGATAACATTAGAAGGAGGACAAAACAAGACATGTATGGGATTAGTTGCAGATGAAACTGCATCTGTTCACTTTCAATTATGGAATGAAGAGTGTGATGCGTTTGAGGCAGGAGACATTATTCGTTTGTCAAATGGGATATTTTCTTACCAACGTGGCAATAATCTTGTTTTGAGGGCAGGGAAAAGAGGGAAGGTGGAAAAAGTGGGAGAGTTTACAATGGTGTTTGCTGAGTCACCAAATATGAGTGAGATTTTGTGGGCCCCGGATCCGAATAATTCGGGGAAATACGTACGAGAGTCTGTAATTTCGACCCATTCGCATATTTTCCCACCAACCGTTTAGATTGTGTTTCTTAGATTAGATTGGATTGTATTCTACCGGACATGCTTTTTAGGACTATTTTTTTATGATAAAAATGAAGAAGGGTATTTACGTCTTTTGTATATATCAGAAATTGAGAGCGTCTCTGGTTCACCATGTTTTACCTTTTCGTTAGAAAAAACTTGCAATTTTTTTCAGTTTTTTTTACAGCGAACGTCAGTGTCAGCTCAATCTGTCGTGTCATGTCATAACTTATTTAAGAGTGTTGCTAAGAAAAGAACAATAATAGGACATGTGTGTGTGGGCCCCACACACGCATATGTTATATCATTTAGGTTCATTTTAAGATCACCCTTGTTTAAAGGATTATGTACGTGATTACATTTTGTAGATGTTTTTGTACTAACTTAAAACTCCAGAAAAAGTATGTTATTATGGGTGCTTTGAATGGCGTGATGAATAAAGAAGGGGGTTGTAATAGCGTCAAATAAGGGGGATGTTGTAGCATCATTTGGGTACTTAGTGGATGAATCAAGCATCAAATTCTCGGGTTATAGCATGCGGAAGTTGTATAAGATATAGCATACTACTTTCTAAAGAAAGGTGTTAATGACATCCTACTATCAAAGTAAATGCATGATAAAGAGAAAATATATACACATTAATGTTTTATGTCAAAAGTGCATTGTCTATTCAAAAATACATTTACTTTTTTAGTTAAAAGTGCATTATCTTTTTAAACAAATTTGATTTTCTTATTCATTAGTTTTATGTCACAAGTACATTTCCAATACACATGCATAGCACCATAAAGCTACTCACCTTGAGGTATTTATGTAGAATAAGCTCCAATAAGTTGAATTTCTTGGCTTCTTTTGCTCTCAATTCTCTTTTTGTCTGTGGAAGATGGTTGTGAAATAGTGCTTCATATTATCTTCGGATTCAACAAATAACACCCAAAGCCTCAAGTCATATCAGAGTTCAGTTATGTTACTCCACCCACTACTATCAAGACTTTTGAGTACCTTTATTTTGAGGTAGTATACCCCTTTTGATGACCATGTTTAATTAACAAGTAATTAAGTTATCTACATCTTATCATTATTTAATTCAACCATATACTAGTAATTCATCATAATCTCCAAATCATTCCTTATGCTATTTATGAAATTACATTAGTAGGTAAAAAACACCACATGAGACCATACCTGTGATAATTATCTTTAATCTGCCTATTTATTCGACTAGATGGAGTATATAGACCATCAGTTCATGAAACTCCCTCTTGGTCACATGTGGATTAAACTGTATGTTTCAAAAATTCATCCAATAGGAAGGATAAAGGTTCTCATCGGTTTAACAAGACCAATGACACCCACCTATGATTTTTGGGGTTTGAACCATCACTCAATAAGGTAAGTATAATGAATTTTACTCATAACATCACCAAATCAACCTTGGCACAAGTTAAAAGCGACACAGAGAAAGAGAAAGGGAAAATATCATTGTAGCACTGCGAACTTTGCCCCTTTGTTTTAAAAGGTCCCTAATGTTTTTTTGGTAGTCCAGAGGATTAAAGTCAACGTTGACCTGTTAAAAAAGGTATTAAACCTTTTTTTACTGGTTTTACGTAAAAAAAAAAAAATGATAAACTATTAAATATTGTCTTTTTTTATTCTTTCCCATTTTCTTCTCCACTATGAAAACAGCTAGAAATAGCTGACACTCCAATCACAAGTGATTCTAGTGAAGAAGGAACAACTGAACGAGTAGGTTTATATAGAGGTCTAAGTTCATCGACCTTGTGAGCAGAAAAACAAACTTTTCTTGCATACTTAGTTTCATCTTTGCAGAGACGAGTCCAGTTAAACTCCTCAAACACCGTCTGTTTAACCGATACTCCAATCACAAGCTCACGTCGATCTCGTTCAGAAATTGGTCGATACTCAAAGTAATGTCACCTGCCGTCTTCATCACCAGAATAATTAAATCTGTTCATAATCGAAATAACCCTAAATTCATTTCACCTTAATTTACATCAAGTAACAAGAATATAATAATTATATTTTTTAACACTTGGGCCTTTATTTTATATTTTTACATCCCAGAAAATCCTCTGAACTTACATGTGCAATTTAGAGGCAACATACTTTTAACTTTTTTTTTTTTTTTTTAAAAACGATCAATAGAACATCATTTGAACTCAATTATCTGCCTGGACATGTTTCATACGCCAAATCTTGCTATTCCATCCGCACTTCGTGTCTCTAATTCTCTTACTTTAGAATTTCATATGTTAAAGTTCATATATGATAAATTACCATCTAGGCATTGTACTTTCCACTTCACTGCTAAAACAATGACACAACAAACATGAATTTAGTATAAACAATACATATTCATTCCAAGGTGTTGGTCTATTGGAGTTACATACGACTCTCATGGTCTTAGCACCCATTTGTATCTTTTTATGTCTAAGGCACCATACCTATTAGCAAGGTTCTAAAAATCTCATGATGACTTCAAGGCTTGTATTACCATGTTTTAACAAAATGTCGCCTTAACTTACGCCTTACAAACGAAATAGCTTGACACGGATCGTAAAAGCTTGGGGATTGACATTATCGTCAAGTCACGTCCAACGTTATTTAGAACATTGCCTATAAATATATTCCCATGGTGTGAGATTCTTTGTAAAAATAAGAATATTCGATGACTTTTACACTTAGTGAATTTATTTTTGGGTAAATTACACCATTCATCCCTCGAGTATGTGTCAAAACGCATGTTTAGTCCTTATTTTTAAAAATTAATTTGGACCGTCCCTGGTTTGGTTAAAAGTTCTACATGTCATCTATTGTTAGTTTAAATTTGCACATTTCATCCTTTGCGAGACATAAAATGACTATTTTGCAATTTTTATTAATTTTTTGATTTATTTCTTTTTCTTACAATTATTTATAAAATAGAAAATAAAATAAAAAACCCACCCCACCCACCTTATCCTAACCCTCCCCTTTAAACCCTATTTCCCCTGAGCCACCAACAAACCATCACCGGAGAAGACACTATCTCGCTAGTAAAGAGGGTCATCGGACCACCGCCCACCACCATTGATGGACCACAATCCTACTCTCTCTCTCTCTCTCTCTCTCTCTACAACATGAATACTCTCTCTCGCTCCTCTTATATATTCTCCGATTGACAGACCACAACCGTCTCAAATCGCGGCTGCCATGTGTGATTTTCACTTCTAATTATATGAAGTCTTCGATCTCTGTTCTCACATGTGCGTCGTCATCGGTAGCAACTAGGTTTTCGACAGATGCCATTGGCGACAGATAGGGTTTTGACATATGCATCGAGTTCCACATGTGCTATCGGCGACGGCTAGGGTTTCTGATGCGTAAATTTATATCCTAGTTTTAACCAACTAATTAACTAACTATTACATCTAAGGTAGTGGTCCTAATTGCAAATAGTATAACACGAATAGTCGGGTATTGAACCCAGGGAACAAATTTAGTACACTAAAATAACTACTAGAAGATTAATCTAAAAGCAAACAATAGTTAAAAAGGGGTTTTTATATGATTTTTCAAGATCAGAAAAACTTAAACACTCAACTAAAAACGGTTTTACTCAATATATTAAAAACACATTCACTTAGTTTCGAATCCACATTTTTCCCATGGTTAGTTACTATTTATGGATTAATAAAGTTTATTACCAATTATTATGTAATTAGCAATCTTTGTCCAATATACTAATATTTTCACCAATTCATGTACTACTAAGTATGGTCATACACAAGCAAACACATAATTAGTTATTAATTATAATTGGGCTATGTAAGATTTATCTAAGGCAATTAAGCAAATAGAATTATGATCACAATTATGTTCTCCAACACAGTTGAGTTTGTTATTTTTATCACTTAATCCAGATGTGGTCACTCCTAGCTCTAGCAATTTAATGGTCACTAAACTACTAGGTAAACAAGTTCATGTAATTTAATGGTCACTAAGCTACTATAACACCCATAAAATTCAAGACAATTTAAAACTTTTTAAAACATTTAAAACCATTAAGTTATTACAGTTTACTTTCAAAATAATTTAAACATCAGAGTATCCCCATAATCAATCATGAAAATATAAGGAGGTGCACGATCACGCCTTCGCCTTCCCGCGATCATCAAAATACCTGAAACAATAATCGATAAATGTAAGCTCGAAGGCTTAGTGAGTTACCCCCAAAATATCAACGCCATACAATCATAATCATATCATATAATATATAAGCAAAACAACATGCATAATGAGCCTTCAGCCTGGCTGGACCACCTCACAGGCCTTCATCCTATTTGGACCGCTCTCCGAGCCTTCTGCACGTCTGCACTGCCTCGCAGGTCCTACAGCCTATCCGGACCGCTCGCCGGGCCATCGGTTTGACTGACATGCCCTCCTGGGACTGTAGTCTATCCGGTCCGCCCTGGGTATGTTGGCCTTCAGCACAAAGCAGGATCGCCTCAACCCAACCCCCAATCAAACAAACATGTGCACATAATATCATACGCTAGCATATATAAAAGTCAACTGATCTAACAGATCATCAATCATAACAACATCCTATAACCAGGATACAGACCTAACCGGTCACTTGAAGGGTTTTGAGCATTCTAACACTCCTAAGTGTACATGCAACCCTAAATACCTTGGATCTATGTTTTCTCTATTATACATGCAAATATGAATATTCCAAGGTATTATCCTAACTAGCATACAAAACATTGATTCATATGGAATAATACAAGTTAGAAGACATACCTTTTGATGTAGCTTGATTCCATGGAGCTTAAGAGCCTATTGCCTCAAGTGTGACACCTCAAATGGTTCACACAACATCAAATGCACTTGGAATAACTTAGAGAGAAATGAACACTTAATGAAATCAGCTAGCCCTCACCATTCCTTCATAGTGTCCGATTTTTGGGAAGAATAAGATGCTTATATAATGTGTCACAATTAGGGTTACACCATGTAAACCCTAATTGTCATGACCTTTCATTTCCATGATCCATGGGTACAAAAACA